ATTCGAAAATTAAAATTATTCATAAAAATTTTAAATTATTTGTACCCTCTTCCTTGCTGAACATTGTTTTTCTTATGCACCTGTTTTGTCAATTCAATCAAAATTATCAAAATAATAGATGACTAATTAAAGAATCAAGATTCTATAAAATAAATATTTAATTTTTAATTAAAATTGTTAAATGAATCGTTTCTAAAATGACTTACAAATGACGGAGTTTTACCTTCAGATACTGCTGGTGAATTGGAGATTTATAATTCAATTGATGACGACATTCTAGAACCATCTGCTACAAGAAGCTATTCTGTAATTTCTCACCATTTAAAATGGAGAAAACAGATACGTTATATTCTACAATCCTTTTCAATGGGGAAAATGAAGATAAAATAAAACTTGAAGACAATTTTTAATTCTCGGCGAAGACTTATATCCCCTAATTGTAGATCAAAGTAATATTTATGCAAAACAAATGAATAGGTCTAATAGTATAACCATCCCAGATATAGAGATTTATATTCTATTATTTACTGGATATCATTCGTTCCCACAGTATATTTTCTAATAATAGTGATATTTCTATTCCAATAATCCAGAATACAATGACCCAATTAAAATTAGTAAATTTGAAATATAATATTCATTTGACAGACAATACTAAAAATATATACATGATAGATTTTATAAAGTTAGGCCTTGCAAAACCAAATTATCATAAAATATATTTTGATAATTTCTATACCTCAAAACTTTTGTCATACTTATAACAAATGGGATATTTTACAATTGCAACTGTGAGGGATAATAGAATGGAGCATTGCCAAGTTGAATCTATAAATGCTGTAGCAAAAAAGAAAGAGGATATTATGATTATAGGTTCGAAAAATTAAACGAAATATTTATAGTTCGTTGGAAGTATAATACAGTGGTAACGAGGTATTTTAAGAAAATATCTTCTAAAATAAAAATTCCTCAACCAAATATGATCACTGCTTATAACAAACACACGGGTGAAGTTGATCAGTGTGATAATCTCATATCTACTATAGAATAGAAAAGAGAAAAAAGAGCGGTGGCCAATATTCACCAATTTTATCGATGTAGCTTTGGTAAATTCGTGGAAAATTTGGAAATTCATAAATCGAGATGAGAAGAGATTGCTTGCATTTAGGCGTACTACTACCTTTGAATACCAATAAAAATTGAAAAAGATTTAAGTACAGGCAATCCAGTTTGCATTATAGAGCGAAAACCCTGATTCATCTGGAAATTATTTATCCGAAATTATAGATGGAAAAAGACGTAGATGCAGATATTGCCATACGCACTCAAAATATATGTGCCAAACATGTCAAATTACACTTCATACTAAATGTTTCAAGGATTTTTATAATATATAAACATTTTCTCGTTTTTATAATTACAAAAAAAAAGAATAAAGATTTCTCTTGTTTTTTGATCTTATAGTATTATACATAATTTTTTATCTTTTTTAAACGATAAAATACTTATAATTTTATTTCTATAATGTACTCTTTATAACCAAAATTATTTTATATAAAAAAAATTCTCTTTTTTTACGCGAAAAAAAAATTAACTAAAGAACATTTTTTTCTTCTTCAAATAAAAATAAATTACAACCTTCACATTATCTCTTTTTCATATAAAAAATACAATATATCTATGGCATCATTTCTTTTTCATATAAAAATACAATATATCTTTGACATCATTTCTTTTTCATATAAAAATACAATATATCCTTGACATTATTGTAATAAAAAATTAAATACACATAATACTACAACATTATTATTCTGAACGCTTTCATTTTGCGATCAAGAAAAGATATCCAAAATATGATAATGGTGTAATGAGAGATAATTTTTCTACCGAGCGGATTATTGGTGATGGAAATTCTCTCTTCAGGTATATATATTTAAAATAAAATATTTTTAATCATTATTGTAGATGTATAAGCAAAGAAGTTTGTGATGACGAATGCCACTACGATTTTCTGAGACAGCAATGCATTCTCTTTATGAAGCAAGAATATTGTTGAGCAGATGGAGGGGTTTTTGGGAGAACCCGTTGACAAATATTTGGAGAGAACAGGTATGGCTCAAAATGCAACTTATGGAACAGAGGTGAAGATTGTTACATTGGCAACTATGCTTCAAACAAATATAATTATCCATACTATTTATAAATGGGCATATTACACGCCAATTAAAAAATTAAGTTACATCAAAAAATTTAATTTGAATATATATTTAAGAAATTATCTCCAACATTTTGACCGCATAATAAATTTTAATTAATGTTATTTATATCATATATCTTATTTATATCGTATATCTTATTTATATCGTATATCTTATTTATATCGTATATCTTATTTATATCGTATATCTTATTTATATCGTATATCTTATTTATATCGTATATCTTATTTATATCGTATATCTTATTTATATCGTATATCTTATTTATATCGTATATCTTATTTATATCGTATATCTTATTTATATCGTATATCTTATTTATATCGTATATCTTATTTATATCGTATATCTTATTTATATCGTATATCTTATTTATATCGTATATCTTATTTATATCGTATATCTTATTTATATCGTATATCTTATTTATATCGTATATCTTATTTATATCGTATATCTTATTTATATCGTATATCTTATTTATATCGTATATCTTATTTATATCGTATATCTTATTTATATCGTATATCTTATTTATATCGTATATCTTATTTATATCGTATATCTTATTTATATCGTATATCTTATTTATATCGTATATCTTAATTATATCGTATATCTTATTTATATCGTATATCTTATTTATATCGTATATCTTATTTATATCGTATATCTTATTTTATTTATATCGTATATCTTATTTATATCGTATATCTTATTTATATCGTATATCTTATTTATATCGTATATCTTATTTATATCGTATATCTTATTTATATCGTATATCTTATTTATATCGTATATCTTATTTATATCGTATATCTTATTTTATTTATATCGTATATCTTATTTATATCGTATATCTTATTTATATCGTATATCTTATTTATATCGTATATCTTATTTATATCGTATATCTTATTTATATCGTATATCTTATTTATATCGTATATCTTATTTATATCGTATATCTTATTTATATCGTATATCTTATTTATATCGTAATCTTATTTATATCGCATATCTTATTTATATCGCATATCTTTATAACGCATGTCTTATTTACATCGCACATCTTTATAACGCATGTCTTATTTATATCGCATATCTTTATAACGCATGTCTTATTTATATCGTATGTCTTATTTATATTGAATATCTTTATAACGCATGTCTTATTTGTTATTTATATCGTATATCTTATTTATATCGCATATCTTTATAACGCATGTCTTATTTACATCGCACATCTTTATAACGTATGTTTTATTTATATTGTATGTCTTATTTATATTGTATGTCTTATTTATATCGCACATCTTTATAACGCATGTCTTATTTATATCGTATATCGTATGTCTTATTTATATTGCTATCTTTATAACGCATGTCTTATGTTATTTATATCATATATCTTATTTATGTCGCATCTTTATAACGCATGTCCTTTTTATATCTTTTCTAATCTTTATTATGCGTAAATTTTATATACAATTTAAATAAAGTACTTAAATTATTTAAAAAATGTTATTAACTTATATATTATTTCTAATCCTGCTTTATCTCACATCTCTATATTAAGCTTTGAAATTTTCGAACTTAACCTTAAATTAATATATAAAACTTTAAGAGTTAATTTTAAATACAAATTAAGCAAAATTGCCATAAATATCAATGTAAAAGAAAATATAATATTTAATCTTTACACGTCAGTCATAAATGCCAGTATTTTTAAAAATTAATAAATGTCAATATCACTAAAATATTATATTTGATCTTAACATATCAGTCATAAATACCAATATCACTAAATTAGAATCTATTTAAAACAGGGATTCACTTAAATATCTATAACAATAGAAAATATAATATATAATCTTTACACGTCAATCATAAATGTCAGTATCACTAAAAATATTATATTTAATATATGCGCGTCAGTTATAAATGTCAATATCACTAAAAAAAATTATATTAAATCTTAACATTTCGGTCATAAATGTCAATATCACTAAATTGGAATTTATTTAAAACAGGAATTCATTTAGAACGTTGCACCTGCCAGGGTATATTTAAAAAATTAAAATACGGTCCAGACCGGGGGCCGGGCCTGCAGATCTCTGAAAAACATACCAAGTAGTACAACTTCGAAAGTAGATTGAAAGGTTTAATTCTTTTGAATATTCATAGGCATTTGACGACAAGCAAGGATGAGATAATTGAAAAATTAGCTCAATCCCAACGAAGATTGGATTTTATATATAAATATATAACATACAAAATACAATTATTATTAAAAAAAATTTTGTGTATTAATTTATATTTCCAACATTTAAATTTTTATGTATATAAATTTTAAAGGCTCAAAAAATTCAATTGGGTCATTTAAGTGATTCATTTATAGTGGTTATATTCACTTTATATTTTATAATTCACATTTATTTTATAGGTTTTTTTACCACCAGTTGTATCCATTTAATATTTTTAATTCACACTTATTTTATAGTTTTTTATATGACGGTTTATACATATAATTTTTTTATAATTCACATTAATTTAAAATCATGTATTAGAAATAGTTATTAGTTCTAATAAATCTATGCTTGATATTTTTAAAAAACAATAATATTTTTAAAAAACAATAATATTTTTAAAAAACAATAATATTTCTTAAAAAATTTTATTATTCCCCCCTCCAGACCAAATTCCTGCGTTTGAGCCCAAACCTAGCATACAATAATTTATATAATCAATCAAAAATTTATTGATTGACAAAATATAAAATTTTATCACATGATCAATTTTTTTTAGTTGAAAAGAAATGTCATCAACAGTTGCTCCCATTAGAAGAAATTTGAAGAATGTTATTAAAAATTATAGTGACGCTCAAGTAAAAGTAAGAGAAGCCACGTCTAATGATCCATGGGGTCCATCTAGTTCATTAATGACAGACATAGCTGACCTGACTTACAATGTTGTGGCTTTTTCAGAAATAATGCAAATGATTTGGAAGAGACTGAATGATAGTGGTAAAAATTGGAGACATGTGTACAAAGCACTATCCCTTTTAGAATATATAATAAAGACTGGAAATGAAAAAGTTGCACAACAGTGTAAAGAAAACATTTTTGCTATTCAGACCTTAAAAGATTTTCAATATATTGAAGAAAATAAAGACCAAGGATTAAACGTGAGAGAAAAAGCAAAACAAATAGTTGCTCTTTTAAAAGATGATGAACGTTTAAAGAATGAAAGGACAAGGGCTTTAAAAGCTAAAGAAAGGTTTGCCCAAGGCACTTCTATTAGTTTTCAGGTTAAATTATAATATAACAAATAAATAATATTGATATATAGATGAAAAAAGATACAGATACTCCAGAAGATTTTAAAGGTTTTTTAAATTTTATTTTCAAATTGTGATTTTATTTTATAGATGGTAATACTGAATGGGAAGCAGTACGACCTTCAAATCAAGGTGAAGAAGATTTACAATTTCAATTAGCAATTGCTATGAGTAAAGAAGAGGCTGAAAATGAAAAGAAAATACTAAGAGGAGATGATTTGCGCCTCCAATTAGCACTTTCACAAAGTGAACAAGAATTAAAAAAGATATCTAATCCATTAGAAAGTGAAAATAATGTAATAAATTGATGTTAAGATTTATAGTCATCTTATATTTATTTATAGGCTTTAATAGATTTAGATTTTTTGGATCCTCCACAAAATTCTTACAAGATGCCAAAATTTGCTCATGAAAATAATAGCATAGATCCATGGTCAATTCACAATATACCTATCACTTTACCTGTCTTCTCAGGGGATACTCAAGGATTAATATCTTCAACAAATAACTTGCCATATCAATCGTGTAAAACTTTACCATTGATAAAATAATAAGATTTGAAATTAAATCATTAAAAGGAATTTATAGTGTAAAAGCTATTTTTTTAAAGTAGTCTAATATAGAGCCCTCCAATTTGCCTAGAAGAGAAGCTTGGACTAAGTTGGGGCATAAAATAAAATTATAAAAATATGCCAGGTTGGGTGAAAAATGTTTATTTTAAATTAAAATGATAAATTTATCTGTGATAATGACAATACAATTAGTGATTTTTACTTTCGTTATTATCATAAAAATAATATGTTTAATTTTTATTTTTAAATCAAAAATTTTTAGGGCAAGCTGGGCTTTAAAATTTCACCAAAAAATAATTATATTTGCAGGGCTTTAGTCAACCATTATTTTTCAGAAAAAATAGCATGCTTAAGCTAACATTTTCAAAACAACTAAAAAAATAATTTAATCTGATGATTATAATCTTCCATAAACTTTTTCCCAAGATTACAGGAAAGTATTTTTTTAAATTACAAGTCAATGTCATATTTTCAATAGATAATCTTGAATTTTATTTCTAATATTTAACTCGTGAGAATATTCACATAACTTTAAAGTTTTTCTGGGATGAATATTAAACTAAAATTAAAACAACTATATCTAGACCTGTGCGCTGATAAAAAAATTATTGGCATTTGGTAGCTTGCCAAATTTTTGATTAACTTATTTTGATTTTTCTTATTTAATTTTAGAAAAATTTCATGTACACTAAATTTAATCATTTATATGAAACAACTATTTTTGAAATATAGTTTATTTTTCAATACCAATATGATACATTGAATGTTTTCAGATCTAAATCGCATTAATCAAAATAGCCAAAACATACTCATTTTATGTTACCACTAGAAAATTTAAAGAATATAAATATCAATAATCAACTAAATCACTCCTCATTAACGTGAAAGATCACTCATAATGTCTAAATATAATCATTTAATTGAAAATAAAATATCTAATTTATAATTGAGATTATGCTGTCAAATTCAATATCAATAATCAACTAAATCACTTACATTTTTAATTTTTTCTTGCTTCAGGGCCATTTTTTGAATATGATATTCTGAAGAAGTTTTAAAACATACTCAATTTATGCTATTTTGAGCAATGCTATTTAGTGGTCAACCGCATTGAATAAATCCATAAAATTATAATTATCTTGAAAAATTATTTTATTTCAATTGGAAGGACATGAGGATCTTCTTGAGTTTAAGGTTAGCCCCACTACTGATACATGCTCATTGGGAGTTCTTGTAGAAGCTTCAAATTAAAATTTCCCTTGCAAGTTATACAAATCTGGAAGACTCCGCAGGACTAATATTTGAATCAAATCAAGGATTCAACCCAACCTGATCTGAATCGTTTAACAGACATTAACCACTATTATTTATTTACTGAACTTGAACTGTTAAAAATTGTCATCCCACCTCTAAGTCTATGAACTAGGTTGAACCTTTTTTTATTCTAATTCTTTTAAAGAGGATTTGTAATCATTTTTGACTGATAAGTATCAGTAGTTATTTTTAGATATTTTTATATTGCTATTTAATGGTGCCAGCTGTTAGCACAAAGTGTTCTCAGGCATAAAATCTATTCTTCCTTATAGATATGATTTGACAAAAGAGAATTTTGCAAATATCTTAATTGTAAATATTATTTTTTAGAGAATATTAATAAAATTTAAAAAAATGTGCTTTTCTTTTCATAATTATAATATGTTTTTTGGGAAAAGGTTTGAACAGGTTTTATAGGGTTCAAACAAACCTATATTATAATTTTTTTACAAACAGAACCTGAACCTCAAACCATTATTTTTATCTAAACCAGGAGTAAATTTATGTTCGTTAAGTTTGGATCCCTGAAGCAAACTAATTGATTGCCCTTTATTTAATCTTACCTTACCTATTTGGTTTGGAGATATAACCAAAGGTATAAACAAACTTATAGTTTACAAAAGGTTTGGGATGTAACTAGCATGTCACGCTCATCCATCATATATCCATGACATGAGTATTGACACCCAGTAGCATATCAGGGTTCCATGTCAATTCAGCGAAACTTTTATCGTGAAACACTTTTTCGCGAATGAATTTTATAGCGAAACTTTTATCGCGAATCCACATTAGCGAATATTTTTCTGCGAAAACAATATAGCGAAACAAATATCGCAATTTTTTTATAGCGAAACTCTTATCGCGAAACCTTTAAAGCGAATACATTAGAGTGAAATTTTTATCGCGAATCAATAATCGCGAAAATTGCGAAGTCATCGCGAAACATAAAGCGCGAAGACAATATAGCGAAAACTATTTCGCGAAATATAATGCGGCCTATTATTATTTTTTTATTTTTATAAAAAAAATTTATTTTATATTTAATGTTAATATTTTATTTATCAACAAATAAAGGAATATGTTAATCTCTTTTCCTACTAGGAACTCCATTAATAATATTTTTATCATAGGGATTTATACTTGTTATTCCTATAAATATGAGATTTATTTTGTTAGAGCTATTTATCATACGTATTTATTCATATAAATATCTGATTACTTAGATATTACTTAAAAATATTGTTAAAAGGCTCGATTTGAGTCGAGTTTTTAAAAACGGCTAACTCAAATTTTCGCTAGCAAAATATTGACTAAGCCTCGAGATTTAGCTAATAGATGCCAAACCTTTATGCCACCTCTGAGCAAGGTCGGCTGGCTTGCCTTATATTTTTTCGGATAAAATATTGAGTTAGCCGTTTTTAAAAATCGGCTCAAATCGAGCCGTTTAACAACATTACTTATAAAAAATATGATATAATGAATAAGCATGCAAAAAATAATGAAATATAAGTCTAACAATTTTATTATTACTTTTGCAATTATATCAATAGTATATATAAAATAATGATTACAATTGTATAATAATGCTAATAAAATAATGCTATATAAAATAATGATTGCAATTTATATATCAATAGTATATAAATTTATATTTATTGAGACTATATATTGATGAAGGTATATAAAATAAAGATTGCAATTTGCATATCAATTAGAAAATTATATTTATTAAGACTGTATATTGATGGTGGTGTATAAAAATTTGTATATATTGCAATTGAATATTAATTGTATATAAAATGATGATTACAATTTGTATATCAATAGGTGGTATATAAAATAATGATTGCAATTTGTATTTCAATAGTAATATATAAAATTATGGTAATTACTTTTTGCATATCAATATTATATAAAATGGTGTAAATTTGGTATAAAATGCATTAAATAATGAAAATTTTGACAGCATGATCATAATATTGATAAAGAGTGATGTGAATTTTTAGGTAAAAACCTAATAATTAATAAATATCTTTGAGAATATAAATAATTATTAGAAAATAGTAGATTTTTATTAAATTTAGATTTTATAAATTTATATTGGGCATTTTGCTTTAAAAAAATTAATTGATTTATTGAATAATTATCAATGGCTATAAAAGATAATTTCCAGATAAGTAGCATATTTTAAATTTACCTTGATTGGGAGTTCCTGAATGGATTATAAATGATGCTAAGATTAAAATTTCCAGGTTAACAAGATAGCATATTTTAAATTTACTTTGGTTGGAGTTCCTGAATGGATTATATCAAGTGATGCTAAGATTAAAATTTCCAGGTTAACAAGATAGCATATTTTAAATTTACTTTGGTTGGAGTTCCTGAATGGATTATATCAAGTGATGCTAAGATTAAAATTTCCAGGTTAACAAGATAGCATATTTTAAATTTACTTTGGTTGGAGTTCCTGAATGGATTATATCAAGTGATGCTAAGATTAAAATTTCCAGGTTAACAAGATAGCATATTTTAAATTTACTTTGGTTGGTTGGAGTTCCTGAATGGATTATATCAAGTGATGCTAAGATTAAAATTTCCAGGTTAACAAGATATCATATTTTAAATTTACCTTGATTAGTTGGAATTCCTGAATGGATTATCAATTGATGCTAAGATTAAAATTTACAGGTTAACAAGATATCATATTTTAAATTTACCTTGATTAGTTGGAGTTCCTGAATGGATTATCAACTGATGCTAAGAAGAAAATTTCCAGGTTAACAAGATAGCATAATAGTAATATATTCTATAATTTACCTGGGTTGGTTATGCTCTCAAATGATGCTGGAGAAAATATTTTAGATGAACTTTCTAAGCAGGCAAGAGCTATAATATGATTATTTTATATAAGATTAACAAAAAATATACCAGTGCATTGTTTGGATATATGAAAGATATTGTTTTTAAATATCCCTTTACCCAAACATAATGGCCTGGTGCATTTGTAATACATAGTAATATTATAACTATCATATTTTCTAAAATGTGAAGGAATCATAAGGTAATATTTATATATTAAGTATATATTGAGCAATCAGCTTGTTAAATTGAGCATACAAATTTTAAGCTTAAGCAAAATTTAGCAAAAAGTCACGCGACAAAACATCAAAACACAAAAAAAAAGTATATTATGCGGCACGATACCTATATTATTATATTATGAAATGAAATGAAAAATGGATTTCTTTTATTTGATATTTTTTAATAAAAAAAATGTATTGTAATATTATTTTTGTTACAATTTATTAGTGATTTTAACACGCTCAAAATTTTAAGCAAAAAATATTTTATGAAGTTCAAAAAGATTTTTAAACATATTTTGATATAAATTTTAAATCTTTTTTGAAGAATTCTTTTGTGAATTTTTTATAAATAAACAATCTTTTAGGTGAAATCTTTTATAGTTTTTTTTTATCATTTTTGTAAAATTATCTATTTTTTAAGTATATTAAAAGAGATGGGTTTTCTAAATAATATTTTTATTTAACTTATTTATGTATATGATCTTTTTAAGGATAATAATCTAATCTGACAATTTTTATATTTGTTATTGAAGATGTTCCATGGAAAAATGACAATTAACTTAATCGGTATTTTTAAAATTAAATTTTTTTTACGGTAAAATATGTATTTTTAACATGTTAAATTAAAATTTTAATTAAGATGCACCATATAAAAGTGACAATTATCATAATGGTTATTTTTAAATTTTTTTGACGTAAATCGGTTAAAATAAGTATTGTTAACATGTATTAATAAAACTTCAGTGAAGATATACCCTAGATAAGTGACAATTGTCATAATCCTTATTTTTAAAGTTTTTTGAATTTTTTTGATGCAAATGGGTAAAAATATAGATTGTAAACAAAATTAAAATTTCATGAAGATGTACCACAGGAAAGTTATAATCGTTATTTTTTTAACTTTTTTTGACGTATATGGGCCAAAATAAGTATTAACATGTTTAATAAAAATTTCAGTGAAGATGTACCAAAGATAAGTGACAATTGTCATAATCATTTTTAAATTTTTTTGATGCAAATGGGCAAAAAATAAATTGCTAACATGTTTAAATAAAACTTTAGTGAAGATGTACCTTTGATAAGTGACAATTGTCATAATCATTATTTTTGAATTTTTTTGAAGCAAATAGGCAAAAATATAAATTGCTAACATGTTAAAATAAAATATCAATGAAGATGTACCATAGATAAGTGACAATTTTCATAATAATTGTTTTTAATGTTTTTTTAAATTTTTTGATACTAAAGGGTAAAAATATAGATTGTAAAAATGTCAAATTAAAATTTCATGAAGATGTACCATATAAAAGTGACAATTGTCATAATCGTTATTTTTGAATTTTTTTGAAGTGGGCTAAAATATAAATTGCTAACATGTTAAAATAATATTTCAGTGAAGATGTACCCTAGATAAGTGACAATAGTCATAATCGTTATTTTTAAAGTTTTTGAATTGTTTCACGCAATTGGACAAAAATATTAATGTTAACATGTTAATATAATTTCACAAAAATAATTCGTTATTTTCATACTCATATTCCTTTTACCCTGCATAAAATTTGATAAAAATATGCAAAGTGATTATTAAAGATAGTTGTAACCTATGTTAAATTCTAAACTTTTAAGAGGATTCACAATCGTATTCCTTTAATTAATAAATTTTAATTCTACATTATAAAAATGTATAACCTTGCATTCACAGTTAGCAAATATTTTTGTATTACTCGTGGCAAAATAGTGCTGAGTCTGAATTCAGGGTAGGATCTTTATAGAAAGAACTTAAAAACCATATCAATATTATTTAGTAATATGATACAATCAACATCTTATAAATTGTTAAGATTTTATTATGGTTAAAATGGATTACAATCTATATTTTAACCCATTTATATCAAAGAACTTTAAAAATAACGATTATAAAAATTGTCACCTTTCAATGGTATATTTTCATGAAATTTTAATTTAGCATGTTTACAATCTATATTTTAACCGATTTATAACAAAAATATTCAAAAAAACCTTATTAACAACGATTATGACAATTGTAACTTATCTATGGTACATCTTCACTGAAATTTTATTTTAACATGTAAGCAATTAATATTATTGCCCATTTGCGTCTAAAAAATTCAAATAATTTTAAAAATAACGATAATGACAATTGTCACCTTTCTATGGTGTATCCTCATGAAATTTTAATTTAACATGTTTACAATTATATTTTGTGAAAATTCCAAAAAGTTTAAAAATAACGATTATGACAATTGTCACTTATCTAGGGTACATCTTGACTGAAATTTTATTTTAACATGTTTGCAATACTTATTTTAGCCCATTTACGTCAAAAAAATTCAAAAAGTTTTAAAATAACGATTATGACAATTGTCACTTTTCTCTGGTATATCTTCATGAAATTTTAATTTAACTTGTTTACAATCTATATTTTTACCCATTTGCGTCAAAAAAACTTTAAAAATAACGATTATGTGTCACTTATTTAAGGTACATTTTCACTGAAATTTTATTTTAACATGTTAACAATACTTATTTTAGCCCATTTACGTCAAAAAATTTTAAAAAAGTTATTAACGATCATGGCAATTGTCACTTTTTTATGGTACATCTTCATGAAATTCTAATTTAACATGTTTACAATCTATATTTATACCCATTTGCGTTAAAAAAATACAAAAAACTTTAAAAATAATGATTATGATAATTGTCACTTATCTAGGGTACATCTTCACTGAAGTTTGTACATCTTCACTGAAGTTTTATTTAAACATGCTAGCAATATTTATTCTAACTCATTTTGGTCAAAAAACTTTAAAAATAACGATTATGACAATTGTCACTTTTCAATGGTACATCTTCATGAAATTTTAATTTAGCATGTTTTCAATCTATACTTTTACCCATTTACAACAAAAGAATTCAAAATAAACAACCATTATGACAATTGTAACTTATCTATGGTACATCTTCACTGATATTTTATTTAAACATGTTAGCAATACTTATTTTAGCCCATTTACTTCAAAAAAAGTTATAAATAAACGATTATGACAATTGTCACCTTTCTAGGTACATCTTCATGAAATTTTAATTTAACATGTTTACAATCTATATTCTATATTTTTACCCATTTATTAAAAAAAGTTTAAAAATAATGATTATGATAATTGTCACTTATCTAGGGTATATCTTCACTGAAGTTTTATTTAAACATACTAGCACTACTTATTTTAACGCATTTTGGTCAAAAAACTTTAAAAATAACGATTATGACAATTGTCACTTTTCAATGGTAGATCTTCATGAGATTTTTATTTAGCATGTTTACAATCTATATTTTTACCCATTTGCAACAAAAAATTCAAAAAACTTTATAAACGACGATTATGACAATTGTCACTTTTCAATGGTAGATTTTCATGAAATTTTAATTAAGCATGTTTACAATTACCCATTTACAACAAAAAAATTCAAAAAACTTTAAAAATAACGATTATGACAATTGTCACTTTTCAATGGTAGATCTTCGTGAGATTTTAATTTAGCATGTTACAATCTATATTTTTACCCATTTGCAACAAAAAACTTTATAAACAACGATTATGACAATTTTAACTTATATTATGGTACATCTTCACTGAAATTTTATTTTAACATGTAACAACTTATATTTTTGCACATTTACGTCAAAAAATTGTAAAAAAACTTTAAAAATAATGATTATGACTATTGTCGCTTTTATATGGTACATCCTAATTGAAATTATAGTTTAACATGTTAAAAATACATATTTTTGCCCATTAGCGTTAAAAAAATCTAATATGTTTAAAAATACCGATTATGATAATTGCCATATTTCCAAGGAACATCTTCATTGAATTTATAATTTAACATCTTTACAATATAAATAATATTTTTACTCAAAAAATTTCAAAAATCTTAAAAATAACGAATATGACAATTGTCACATTAAAATATTATCCTTAAAAAGATCATAAAATAACTTAAATAAGTTAAATATAAATATTAAAAAAAAATTATTTAGCAAACCCACCTCTTTTAATATTCTTAAGAAATAGATAATTTTACAAAAATGATAAAAAAAACTAAAAGATTTCACCTAAAAATTGTATATTTATTTATAATAAATTTCACAAAAGAATTCCTCAAAAAAGATATATTTATAAAGAAGATTTAAAATTTTTATCATAATATGTTCAAGAATCTTTTTGAACTTCAAGAAATATTTTTTACTTAAAATCTTGGGCATGAAAATCACTAATAAACTGTAACAAAAATAATATTACAATAGTAGCATATCTTTTTTTATTAAAAAACATCAAATAATAAATAACATGTTGTTTTCTTTTAAATAAATGCATTCGCAATATATTTATTGTTTCGCGGTAATGCGCTCGCTATAATGATTTTGCTCAAACATATTCGCGAATAAAAATTCGCTGTAAAGTGTTTGCATAAAATGTTTCGCTCAAATAAATTCGCGGTTAAGTTTTGCAGAAATAAATTTGCGACAATGGCTTCGCTAAATTGTCTTCGCTATAAATGTTTCGCGGAGATAAATTAGCAGAATTGGTTTCGCGATTTTACCTTCGCTATAAAAACTCTTTGCGATAAACGACATTCGCGATAGAAGTTTCGAGAAAAAGTGTTTCGCGATAAAAGTTTCGCTGAATTGACCTGATACGGCATATCAGCTATCGATTTTAGGTAAAACTGGTAATAAATAATTGAATCAAATCTAGGGAAAACAATTTAAGAAAATTATTTGTCAATAATTTTGATTAGCAGTTTTTATGCTCTGCGCCTAAATATCCCAACTAAATGCCAAATATAGTTCCTGACATTTTTGCTCCATTTCTAATATATATAAATATTTAAGAATATACTCATTTTTCCATAGAATTTATTCCAATCATGGTCTAAACTTATTTGCTAAGAAGGGAAGCTCAGTATCCTTATTTAAACTTAGAGGCGTTTTTTAATAAAACAAAAAAAGATATAAATTATTTTTTTGTTTAAATTATTCAAAAATCCTTATCACCATCACTAATTGAGTATAATTATAATTGCTTTTATTTTTTATTGATTCATAATTAAATAATTTATAAAATAGAAATATTTCCTTTTTTGGTCAAACCTTTTTTACATTTGAAACAAACTGAACAATTAATAAGATTCATTTTTTACAAAGGTGGAGGCTTTAAAAGAGGATATGTTAAAGTTGGTTTTTAGATTCTAGCTAGAAGGATCTTGATGTGACTTTTTTAAAATTTCTGTTACTATATTTAATTACTTTTGTAAATGCCTGTCTGCCCTTTTTAAGAAAATTTGTAAATTATTGTTTAAATTGATCCCTATTTTTTAATTCAAAAATTGTTTGATTTTTTTGGGTGTTGTTAAAATTTTATTTTTGTTTTTAATTTTTTTAAAAAATAAATTAATACATAAATTATTTATAATATAACATAATACCATTGTAAAAAGAATACTGAGATATATATTTAAACTAAAAAAAATTTTTTTGATAATAACTGCACAGAATCATAGCGTGATCTGCAAATTACTAAGCCAGTATTCTTGTGCAGATATAAATATTCTTTGAATCTTGATATAGCACTTGGATTTTTTTCCTATTAATTTTAAATAGGCGAGGACTTCAAGTCAAATTTTCTAAAGTGGTAGTGACCACGAGATCGAAGTGGACATTATTTGGAAATATTTATTTCTTTTGTTGTTTTCAGTGAAAGAAATGAAATTTTCGAGGATGTTTGATTTAGAAAATATATCTATGCTGTAGGGTTGGCCAATAAAAATCGGTTTAAATTACCCCAATTTAAAAAAATCAATGATTTAAATTAATATTTTAAATAAAATTCTATTTACTAAATTTGATCAAAATACTTAAAATAAAGAAATACAAATGTTTCAATTTTTGATATTAATGTATAATTGTATAATTCTAATCTCAATTTAGCAAGAAATTATTTAATATTCTTAAAAAATAATTAGTTTGTTAAATTTAGGGCTGTACCCTTCTTCTAAAAAAGGATTCTAGTTCAGTGAAATATCTCTGAACCCGATTCGGGTTCAGGGTTTGCAGTCTATAAAATTAAAAACTTATAAAATTTAGTAAAAATAATAGAAAAATCTTTTTAAAATTTTATTTTACTATATTTAAAATTTACTAGGGGTGTACCGATAACACTTTTTGGTGGCCGACCCGATTTGATCCGATATCATTTCTTATTTTTTTTTATCTGTAAACAATTAATCGTTTTAATTGTTAATGTATACATCTAGTGTTGGAAAATCGTTTTATTTGAGTGGATTTTTAAAAACGGATAACTCAGACTTTTATCCAGTAAAATATTACGCAAGTCTGAAGATCTTGCTCTTAGCTGACACAAAGGTTTGGACATCTATTAGTGAAATCTCGAGATTTAGGCAATATTTTTTGGCGAAAATATTGAGTTAGTCATTTAAAAATCAGCGCAAATAGAGCGATTTTGCATCACTACATACATCTACTCATCTCGTATACTTTTTAATAGTATAACATCTATAATTTAACTATGCCATAACATAAGTCATTTAAATTATTACAATGGTCAGTATAGTTTATATTCATGAATCTAAAAATATATAAAATATTTTTATTGATAAATCACTTATTTATATAATAATATAAATTTATTCACATAATAAGTAACAAAATTTTTTAAAAATTAATAAGCCATTATTTTATCGGATCGGAAAATTTACAATATTGCTAATAACCGATATTTTAACAAATATGAAATATCCGCCCGATCCGATAAAAATATCGGTATATCCCTAGAATTTATCATAAAAATAATTTCATAATAATTAGGATAATATAATGCAATTTAAAAAATAATATTCCATTTGTATTTTAAAATTTTATAAGAGAATTATGATATCTTCCAAAATCTAGATGTTAAAATTAAAAGATCGATTTTTTATGCCTAAGGAATTCACAGTAGAGAGCGATACGATCTTAAGCCACAGAACAGCTGATGTATATATAGTTGGGTAATTACTATATTTCTAGTCGTTTAAGCCAATCTTTATCCGGCTAAAAAATCAACGAAACTAAATTTTTAGCAGAAAACTATCACTTTGGTCTCGGATTTTTTCCTAAAAAGATAGCAGCTCAAATTTTGAAGAAACCAATATATTAAAACGATATCATTAACAAATTTTTAAAATGCTTCCTAAATGGAATTTCGAAGACGATTTAAAGACTTAATAGCGTTTAAATTATTGTACCAATATTGGATATCTCTAGTTTACCTTCTGATAAATGTTATAAAAAACCCTTTAATTCTTTTGCCTACAAAATTTGAAAATACCAAACTGATTGCTGCTAATTTAAATACATCAAATAAAACATACAATATAGAATACATAACGAAACTAATCTTAAGGGTTGGGCAATAAAAATTCGAAAATAGAAAATCATCTAGCCAGGATTTAAATAGTTCATAAATTACAAAATTAAATGTTTAAATGAAAATATACCTTAAAAAATTTATAATTGTTCATGTAAAGAATTTTTTTTTTAATATTGTGAAATTGATTTCTTATATATGTCGTAATTTTTAAAGGGATCATGACTATCCGAGATCTTCACGGGATTTTAAAGGGATAACTAAAAAATTAGGGTTCTAAATTAAGTGTTGAAAAGGTTGAATGAAAAGTTACTAAAGGTAAATGGCTACGCAATCAATATCCATTGGCCTAGTTTTATTAAATATAAATACAGTGTATATTGAGATTTTATTCCCAACTATAATTAATTTATTAAAGTATAATTAAAAAGCACAATGAGAATTTAAACTGAAAATTTATTTTATAAAAATTTTAGAACAATAATATTTATAATCATTTATAACCAGTAGTATTTTTTATTAACTTTTGACTTAATTTTTACGATTTATATTCAATTAATATCATTTTTACCCTGCGCTTATTTATATTTTTCGCGATTTTAATATTAAAATATTTTTTTAATTATTCGCAGTTTTAACTCCTTCCTAATAATGTCACATCATTAATTAGTGTAATAAAAATACACCTAGATTTTAAAATAAAACTCAATATTAAATTAATTTATATTTTGTATGTTTTTATAATTAAAATTTAGCTTATCACAGTATGATTGCAAAAGACAACTTTGCCCCTAACAAAACCCCAAAATCCACATCAGATCTTATCAATTTAGATAATTTATTTTCATCAAGTTCCGCAGGTTATTAAATTATGATTTTAAATATATAACTGCCTTTTCAAATAATCATTCATAATTTTGCCTTATACATCTCTTTTATGGTGAGTAATTAAGGGTCGAACGAATGAGAAAACAATTGATTTATTTTTATGAAGTAAATAGCCCTTTCCTGTAAAGCCTTTGGCCGGAAGAAAAAGGAAGGATGATCTTTGGTCTGTATTGAAAAATTATTTAGGTTGTGGGGGGGGGCGCGGGCTTCGACCGATAGAAACTTACTTGCAAGTTTTACAGCTTACGGAGTGGACTTAGTCCAGCGTAGGGAAGTTCCAAATGGGGATGGTCTTTTGGGAGGAGGAATGTGCGATAATTATATAGGATTCATTTGTGCTTATTTTTTCTTGTGGACGTTTTATTTTTTCAACTCGCTAATTAATAACAATTTGTATCTATAATTTAGTAAGTTTTAAAATACAAAACCTATTAATTAAATTCAAGTACAATTTATGTCTTAATTTTTTTGAATGTTAGAATATAAGAGCTCTTTTCTTTAATTTTTTTGAAACTTGGATAAAATTTTTCTTAGATTAAAATGTAAGCTGGGGATATAATTTTTTTAATAAAAATAGGAATTTAACAATTTTTGTTTTATTTTGGCTGTCCAAACATCGATATGCATTTTAAAAATCCTAAGATTATAGATATATATGTACCTTAAACTAGAGGTCTTCAATGTGCGGGGTTTTGCGAACGTCTTCCCATTTATCAAAAAAAGTTGTTTAGCTTACCCGCCCTTTAATAATTATTTTATTGGTTGGTTTGGCTCTTTATTTTATTCTACTATTTTCCTTTAAACTGATAAAATATGCAATATTATGAAATAAAAAGTTATTTTTAATAAAAAAAAGTATTCTGCTCATTTCGCCCTAAAAATTTCAAATTCACGCGCCTGTTTTTAAAATATTTTTTTAACCCGCCCAATGGTTAAAAATTTTTTAGCCAACCCAAAAAACCCCCATTGCAGTCCTTTTCTTTAACATCAAATAATACCGTTTTAATTTATATAATCAGAGACCTACAGGCCCGGCCCTAAGCCCGGCCGTATTTTAAATTTTTTAAATATACCCGGGACGGGCCTAAAAAAATTTTTTTTAACATATTCGGGCCGGGCCTAAAAAAATTTTTTTAAATATATCCGGGCCTTAATATTTTTTATAAAAATTTTTACATTATGAGTTAATGGTTATAATATTATATTATATTTTTATTAATATAATATTGGGTGATGGTTAACACTACCTAACACCCACAGATCGATCTAATTATTAATTTCCTGCAAATTTATTCAAAGTATTAATATATTTTTTTATAATTCATATCTAAATTTTTACAACATATTTTACCAAAACAATCAAATAAAGGAATATCTTAAATAAGCCCCAATATTCAAGTATTATTAATATATTTTTTTATAATTCATATCTAAATTTTTAGAATATATTTTACCAAAACAATCAAATAAAGGAATATCACTTCTTGAAGTTTGTAATACCTTTCAAAGCGAAAAAGGAGAAATAAAATTGATTTTACTTAATATAAAGCATTTTTTAATTGAAAAATTTGTTTTACACAAGTATCATTTTATTTCTCTTTTTCTCTGTCCCAAATTCAAGCAATTACGTATGTTGTCAGGGACAGATCGCAAGATGATGGAAAACTATATAAAAGATAATATTAAATTACAAGAGGCTCAGGGCTCAGGAAGTAAATGAAATACCACCGACCAGTCAAATTACGACTGTTGTTAAACAAACTGAATCGTTTTATTACAAATGGGGCGATGGTAATTCTGGTAATATGTCAATACCCGATGATAAATATTATAATTACATAAATAAAAAAATAGATGAAACATTTAAGGTGGATGGGCGGCTCATCAAAGCGAATTTTTTAGCAAAATTGGCAAAACGGGTATTGGCAATTCCTGCTTCAAGTGCAAGCTGTGAGCCGAATTTTTCCACTACTGGGAGAATTCTTGAAGAAAGAAGAAGTAATCTTCAACCTGAAAAGGTAGATATGCTTCTCTTTCTTCATGATAATTTGTGAATTTTTAATATCTTTCTTGAGTATAGGGTTTCGTCAATCATGCTGGTTTTTTACTTTGCAAACTGTCAAATATTTATTGCATTTATTATATTTACCTTGAGTCATGAAAGTTTTAATCCAACATTTTTCATTTTTTTTTACAATATTATATAATACAATTATCTTCTTTTGTTAAAAATTTATATTATAAAATAAATTAAATTAATATTGTGCAATTAGATTATATTTTCAAAATACTATTTATTATACATGCATTTTTTTAAATAGCGATTTATTTTTATTTTATAAATTAAATAGTAAATTAAATACAATATATTATATTCTCAAAATATTTTCCATTTTTATAAATTAAATATTTTATTTTTTTTAAATGCAATATAAAATATAGTATATGCTCAAAATATTATTACCATTTTTATGAATATTAGTGTTATTTTTATAAATGCAATATAAAATATAGTATATGCTCAAAATATCCATTTTTATAAATAACAGTTTTATAATTTTTATAAATTCAATATAATATTCTCAAAATATTAGCTTTTTACATGCATTTTTTAAATAATAAGCGATAATACTCGCTGAAAAATATGGTAAAATACCTCATAGGTGAATTTTTGTATATACCAGGTCGAATATAATTTTAAAAAATTCCGAGCCGGGCCGTAAAAATTTTTTTTAAAAAATATCCTGGCCGGGCCCTAAAAAATTTAAAACCGGGCCGGGCCGTGCAAATGGTGCCTCTGCAGGTCTCTGTATATTATACTAAATTATGAGTGATACTTAATCAATTTAAATTATTACATTTTTTAATATTAAGCCGAGAACAAACTAAACCCCTTTGCCATCCCACCGAACTCTACAAACAGATTAAATCTTAATAGCCTAGCTACTAGATCGAATCCTGGAAAATCAGATTTTATTAATTTCGATAAAATAAACAATGTTGCCTCTCAGCTTCAAACTCCAAATATGAATACCTCTTCTAATAGTTTTATAAATTCATCTCAATATGAAGTATCACATATTAAAAACACCAATGCTAATAATCCTTTCCTTTAAATGTCACAATTTATCAATTTATTTTTCATATATTTAGCTTTGGTATTTTTAGCAATTATGTAAATTTAAATTATTTATTTATTGCATAAATCATGAATAAATTCATAGCACCATTTATTTTGATTTGAATAGTTTTTCACAATCACAATGCTAAATTTTTATTTTTCAGGTTTAAATATCCTTTTGAGGGGCCAGATGTATTTTTGAAACTACCATTTTAAAATCATATTTCTGCTACTAGCACGAGCCACTTTATCTGTAACCGCCAAAATATTAAAATTAAAAATATTTTTAATCATTTCATTTTACCACACAAGTTATATAATATTTGTATTTGAAACAGGAGTTAATCATATATGACGTTATTTTTAAATTTACTAGTGCTAAAATTTAAAAAAAGATAAAATTATATATTTTTTAAACTATAAAATTATTAATCTTGATAATTAAATAATATTTAATAAGATGGAGGTGTAATCAATTCAACGCTCCCCTCTATTTAATCTTTTTTTAAAAATTGCTACGTCTCCTGATATAGCTGGGGGAAAGGGTATCCATAGAGGGTTGCCAGGTCAAAATTTTCAAATTGCGGGAGAAATTTGGTATTATGCGGGAGAAACATAAAAATTGCGGTAAAATATAAAAATTGCTAAAAAAAATTTTTTGCGGGCGGCCTTCGGCCGGGATTTTGAATTGACTTAATTATCCGCCTATTATTTTTTATAATTAGTTTATATAAATACAAAGTCGGTAACTATTTTTCAAAATACAATAACATCTTGATTTATTAAAATATATTAATTTATAAAAAAAACCAACGATCTTTTTTAAATATAAAAAAACGATTTTAATTTTACAATTAAAAATATATTTTATGCGAATGTCCCTCAAAACGACCGCAATTGGAAATCTACCGTGTGTGTGTATAACATTATAGGGATAGGCGCTTAATTATCAGGAATCACGTTTAAATACATAATAAGGTACTCCAAAATAAGATATAATACAGATGCAACTACAGTTGCGTCAATTGTACTTATCTTGTAGTACAACATTCACAGAGATACTTATCATCACAATGTTGGCAGAATCTTTTTCCCATAATAACGACTCTAATATAAATGAGAATTATACTTATAGAACAAAAATGAGCAAGGCTATCATTAATGTTTTAAGACCTAAATCCAGGAGGTCAATTTTTGACGATTTGAAAGATGGGCATATTTATGCAATTCTAACAGATGCATCTATTAAGGGAAATATTTCCCTTGATCTTCCTCTATTTCAACAAAATTAATGTCGTTTCAATAAAACTATTAATTTTTTTCACCTCAAATAGTGAAAAATTCAAAGACATAGCTAACCATATAATGGTAAATATATCAGATTCGAGATGATCAATAAATTGCATGTCAGCTTTCTGATCTGATAATGCCTCAGTGAATTTGGTAAAATCAGTGTATTTACAGAAGTGAGTCAGCACAGTGTTGGTTGCGATATGTTCCTAATACCCGCCATCGATAGAATTTTAAAATTTTATAAACCTTTAAAAAATATTTCTTAAATAGTCCTAACATTTTGAAAATTTTTTTCAATAATGAATGGCGGAGGTATATTTAGGAATGATTTCACATGTAGAATGTGCAGTTGCAATCAGAAGAATCTTAACAAAGATTCACAAAATTATGCTATAGATGTGTCCATCTTTACAGTTAAAAATTGACAATAAATTTTATGGCGCCATTGCTAAAACTTAATTATATTTTATTTGAGATTTAAATAAGAACTAAATGTTTACCGTCGTTATTTACATTTTTTAACCATTAGCTCGTTCTCTAATGTTGTTAAATCCGATTTCTCTCCTATTTCCAGGCAGTCCTCTTCAGGCTAAAATTGTGCTCGGATGAGGCATTAGAATGAGGTAAGCAGAAGTTTTGGCGAATCATAAAAAATAGATAGAATTACAATCTCTTCAAACAAGTCATCAATGTCTTTCGGTATTTTTAATATATTTATTAAATTATAAAAACCATCAATTGATGGTTTCTGTTCCAAAGTCATAATATTTATACAATTGTAAATAGAGTTATTAAAATCAAATTTTGATTGTAAATATTCAAAAATTGTCTTAATAAAAATATCTGCTTCATTTAAAAATGTATTAATTAGAGTATTATTTGAACATTTTAATATATTTTTAGCAATAGCGTCATAAAATTTATTTTCAATTTTTAACTTGAACAGAGCTGTAGCATGATTTTGTGAATCATTTTTAATAAAGAATATTCTGATTGCAACTGAATATTAACTGCATGAAGTAGATTTCCTACACGTGAAACGAATCCCAAATATGCTTCTGCCATTTCATACTCGAAAAATTTTTGGACAGTCTTTAAAATCTTTATTTAAAAAGTATTTTTTTTAAGGGTTTGTAAAATTTTAAAATTCTATCGAAGGCAGGTATTAATGACAATCACCTGATAGGTATATATCGCAACAACTCACACCATTCCAAGTCAGACCACTTCACCACCTCTTTTAATTCATTAACTCTTTTAGTTGAACTAAATTCGTTAAAACATTTCATCACAATTATATTATTTCGACATCCACAGATAGTACATTCATTGCCTTCTTGCAAGAATTATGTAGTATATATGGCATATACAGCCAATTGGTATTAATTCATTTGTGCTGCCTCAATTCGGTAACTTTAGGTTTTGCCAAAATTTACAGAGGCATTATCAGCGCAGAAAGCTGGCATGGAAATCATTGATAACCCTGAATCAGCTATATTTACCATTATGTGGCTAGCTACATCGTTAGATTTTTCAATATCTGAGGAAAATTTTTTAACAGTTTTATTGAAATGTTCTTATTCTTGTTGAAATTGCGAAGGATCGAAGGAAATGTTTTAATATTTTTCTTATTAGATGCATTTGTTAGAATTGCATATGGATGCCCATCTTTCAAATCGTCTAGAATTGACCTCTAGGATTCAGGTACCAAAACACTTGTGATAGATAGCCTTGCTCATTTTTATTGCCACAAGTAAGATTTGCACTTATATTGGATTCGTTAAATATCATGAGAAAAAGATTCGACCCACATTGTAATGATATATAGAGCTCTGTGAATGTTGAACTACATAATAGATGTACACGATTTCCGCAAATATAGTTTCATTTTAAGAATATTTTTGTATTGCAATCGATGTTGATATACTCCCATGAACTGACTAATATGAATGAAATAATGTTGATTTATTATTGGATAGAAAGAAATTTACAAACTAGACATGTTTTTCGAATAAATATTTAAAATTTATTTTAAAAATATAAAAATAATCAATTAATGTCTCAAAATTATTATATACATATTAAAAACGGTCAAATACTTTTTTAAAAAAATTGTGGCAGAAATTAAAAAATCGCGGTAGATTTTTGCTGGAGATTTCCAATTGCGGTAGTTTTGCGGTAGAGATATATCTGCGTGTAAACTAAAAAATTTAGGGAGTCTCCCGCTGATGGGGAAACATGGCAACCCTGTATCCTACTACTTATTTTTTTAAAATATTTAATTTATATAGATAAAAATAAAACTTTCCACCATAACAAAAAAATTATGGGCACTTTTTTCCACATCACTAAAGATTAAAAATATGCACAAATAATATGGAGGAGTAGTCTAATATGAGATTTAATTTAATAAAAAAATCTATGGACAAACATAAATTTTTTATTGTTTAAAGTTAATATCAATATTTTTACTGGCTTTATAATTATCTACAGTTTCATTGCAAAACAACCCATCTAAAAAAAATTTATTTCGTTAATAGGGTTATTTATGTTTCTCTCCTAGTAGCCTATGCTTTATTTCATTTGCATTCGGTTTTGCCTTTTTAGAGTCAACTCAAAACCTGCTAAAAATGGAGTAATTATCACCACGACTTGATTGTGGCTAATCTCATTCCATACTTTAAATAAAGCAGAAGCTTACAGGGATTCATAAAATTTGTAGGGATATAAATTTTTTTTATATATTTATAGAATATTTCAATGGGTTGAAAGTCCCTTCTCACTTGTGAAGTAAGCTCCAATTAAATAAATTAAAATTTTTAAAAACCTTTGCATTTTATTTTTAAAGCAGTACCGTTTTTATTAGCCTTTGTTTATTTAATAATACGATTAATGTTAAAATTTTTATTTTTTATTATTACTGAAGTTAAAATAAGAGAAATCAATATTTTTATTTTAGTTCAAATTTAATGAAAATATTGAATAATCTAACTTTTTGTGTCTTGCCACAAATTTGCATAGTTCTTTGTTTAAAATTGACCAAGCCGTGCAGAGCTCTGATATGTATTAAAATATAATCAATGGCTGTTTTTGGGTTTCTCTTTATTTTTTAAGCGCTTTACCCTTTTGTGTTAAAAACAACATATCTACACTTGATTCTTTCACGTTCATCAAACTGGATAAAAGAGAAATATGGGCAACGTCTACATGACAGGATATTTGCTGAATGTAAACCCCTCTCAAAAACCTAAAATTCCAGCCGCCTACGGCGGCTATATTACCACATTATTAATTACACCTTTTTAATGATACTTGTACTCCCTTCATAACTTAAAAAAGAACTTAATGATTACTGTTTAATGCCAACTATCAAAATATTGTGTATGTAAGAGAGTTATTTTTTATAACATGAATTCAGTTAAAAATTATCTCATTTATAATGAATGCATTATTATAATATTTTATTTGACACTAATATAAATTTACTGATAGAATTTTTAACCATTTTAAATTACATTTAAAAGGATAGCAAAAATGATTGAGAAATAGTTTTATTTTGATTATGTCTATAAATGTGTGCCATATATAAATTTGATTGATGTTTAGCAATATCGTTTTATTATAATGGGTTTGTAATAAAAATTATATTTTTACGCTAATACATTTTGCCCTATTCTAAAAATTTAATAGATAACCCTCTATTAAATTTATCCTACCCATAGTCTATCCCCCCACA